AACGTCGCTTTGAGAATATATAACGTTGCTGAAAAACTGATTTTCGCCAACGAGTTTGTTCGTAGCAAAATTATGTCTCTCAGAAGAAACTTTTTAAATCAAAGAGATAATACTATTGATGTTAATGTGACTAGAATTGCACGAGATATCAACAATATTAACATCTTGATGTTGTTTTCTCTTGTCTCAAAATTCAAGACAAGATTTTTAATTAGTTGGTATCAAGATTATGTGGTTTTTTCAAAATTATTGATTTAAAAGAAAAGTTAGAATATATGTAAATTGAATGAAAAAAAATTACTTATTATACGAACTTAACAAATTAAATAAGTAAAAACATTTATATTAGCAAATTTAGAAACAATTAATACAATAAATAAAATAAACAATATAAAATTTTATACAATTATTTAGTTAGACGCATTCTGATATCATTATATTCATTCAAGACAAGATTTAAATTTTTGAAAATTTTTGATACAATATTTTTACTAATATTTTCTTATCGCGAATCTTGTGCAATCTTATATCTTATATCTTTCTAAAAGGAAATTGTATAACAATGTAATAAATAATGTAAAATTGAGTATTCGTTCTCTTTCTTGTAAGATCTAATAATAGAACAATTGTACTTAACATAAGAATGTTTATTATCAAGAGCATAAGCATATTATTGAAATAACGGCGTCACATTGTAAAGAATATGCGCATCATAAGACTGGTGCTGATAGATGCGGCAGCGATAAGAATTTTCATCAAGATTAATTAAGATCGGGGCGCAGTTATTGTAATTACTTGCGATCCGATCTCTCGAGTGTATCTAATTATCGGGCTTAATCTCGGCTGATCACACACTCCGCGCAACAATACGAAGTTGAATGATGTAAACGATCTTATTAGTATTCTCGATGCTCGTCGACGAATGACGGCACACGATGCGATATAAAAACGAAGTAACGGGTATATCAATAATAATAGCGCCGGTGCATTGGTAATTATATTATCTAATGATACGTCTCCCCATAGAGTTCATGTTCTCAAGAACGCAGGAAATTGTGCCGTGAATGAATATTCGACATTTACATTTAATACTAAAAAATGTGATCGTCCGATTTTATAATAAATTACTTAACGAATTCAATCATTTAATTAAATTGAATTATTTTAAATAAAAAATGTTTAATAAACTTAGCTATATGATAGATTTTAATATGTAAATATTTAATAATTTTTCATACTTCACTTAAAATATATTTTTAGCCCGATGTACATAAATTAATATAAAGTAAGTCTTAATATTTTTGTAGAATTAATATTTACTGTTACCTGAATAAGAAAACATTTCCGCAACCGGCACTTAATTTGTTAATTAATCAACATAAATGTCTACATAACTGGATGGCAACGCAACTATTAACTCCTGCGAGGTATATCAGCATAAATAACATTGCGCGTTTTCGCTTTATTATCGCATAGTGACGGTCGTATCAAGTGGCACAGAAGGAAAAACGCGGAATTGATTTTGCAAAGTGGACAGGTAACGTTGATCGCGGAACGCGTAATCGCTTTATTTATTAATGCACGCCTTTACTTTACGAGGGCGGGTTACACAACCCCATAAATAGCGTATCTTATGGAACCTAAAAAATTCTCGGTGACACTAAAATCCGTAGTTTACACCCGTAACCAACATTTACGGTCTCTTTGATCGTGGCCGCCATTGACGTCTCTGTCATCCCAATTAGGACGTAGTAAAGTTTCCCCTTTTTTTGTGAGACGCCGTTTTAGGGTTGAATGTGACGGAGGTTTTCGTCGGTAATATCTTCCGCAAAGGGACATGGCACGAATCCGCCGTGGAAAAAAAGAGAAAAGAGAAACCGGTTGTTTCTCCGAGAAGGACAATATGGTATAATCAAACGAACCACACCGACGTAATCGTGTCTCCAGTCTCCACCGAGAGATATCGATTATACAATGTCTCTTAAGAGCATTCTTGAAAAGTGTTTTCCGAGGGTAGTTATTTATATATTTTACTGAGTTTCTCTTAATAAAAAAATCGTAAAGTCACAAAAATCTTAATTGTATTATTTAAACTGAATGAGATTCGAAAAATGTATAATTTGTTTTCGATTATATGCAAATCTTAAGGATGTTTTGTATGTATAATCCCAGCAAAAAGTAGCTGAAAATCAATACTGACAAATATATTCACTTTTGATGTATTTTGAGTATGAGAAATTGCGTGGAATATACAATTTAATCTTAGCTACAATGCAGAGATGTATTTTTTAATATTTATTGCATTTTTACGGAAATATTCCGAATTTTTGTTAATCGAAATAATTAACATTTGGCAGAGAATTTCGCCTGTGACAGATACATGGCTAACTTCATTCAATTATATTTAATATCTTTTTAATCAGTTAGTACTTGTATAATATTATTTGACCAAATATTTCCTCTGTATCTAAACTTTTGTAAATTTTAAACAAATTCTAAATATCATTTCCATGTATTTTTGTCATTTGAATCGACGTGGTTATACGTTTCCCATAAGAACACAAATTAAAATCCTTATAACTTGTGAATCGATTTAAAAATTGTACTGAAGATTCTAAACATATGTAAGGACATTCTATACAATTTTCCTTAAATTGTCAATATTTTGAAAATAGGTACAAAACATCCTTAAATTCGTTTCCGCATCTGAAAAACAGTATACAGCGTGTTTTTAGCGATGCGCTCAAACTCATTTCCGAGAAACGCGCTTCTCATGCGAAGGAAATCGTTGCGCGGCAAGCAAAAATCGAGCAACAATCGCTTGAATCGTTTCAAAACATGAGAATTTAATTGCGCACGTGCGTTGCGCGTTAGATTCAGAGATCGAATCTCGCTTCAATTCTTCGACAATTTAAGGTAGACACGCGATGGGGACTTTCACTTTCAAACGGTATGGCCTGGCGATCGTGGCACGCTGCTGTGCTAATTGTATTATTAATTACAGTAAGAGAGCCGCGAGCGTAAGGCGTAAGCGACCGATGCGCGCATAATTAAAGCTGCATTTTCGCTCGCTCGCTCTCTATCTCTCTCTCTTTCTCTCTCTTTTTCGCCACATCGTTGTTGATCGCGTTCGCATGCGCTGCGATCGTTTCCTGTCGCTTCGTCGTTGCTGTACGTGTTATACGTCGGCATAGTGCTATACGCAGTCATCGGTGATTTTCCGGAGATGGAACGGGAACGCGCAACACGGAGAACGAATCGCGTCTCACCGCGGGGGATCCTACAGAAAACAAGATCTCATCAAGATAGCTAGATGCTCGCACTCTGTTGCACCGACCTGACGTACTGGCCCCTGCAACTGCCATGCACCATTAACCGAGATCCAGCTAGAGACACCTCGTGTATATGAAGAAGAGAGAAGGAAAGACGACGAGATATAAGAAGGGACGGAGGGAGAAGATATGCGGCTAGTCACGTCGAGCAATCTTCCCTTTTTCATTTTCTCTCTCTTTCTGTTTCACGTATCATTTTCATGGCTGATTTCTATTTCTCTCTGTCTCTGGGAAAGACCGACGATCGTCGAAATAGGAAATCGTTTAGGTCTTCGAGAGAAACCGAGTTGAGTGAAATGCGCGAACTCATTACGAACACTTAATGTTTGTATGCGCTTCCCCTAAAATCTCTGACGTTTATAAGTACGCTACGTATGCGTGAAATGCTGATATTTTGATTTGAAAATTGTTATATATTTTAAAGGACATAAAACTTCCTCGCATGAGCAGTTGCCGGATCGAAAATGCGATTGATTTTTCAAGTGACAAAAATAATTTAAACACAATTATAGTTAATTATTTACACTTTCATATCCTAACAATAAAGAGAGATAATTTGATTTGACAAATAATTAAAGTAGCGTTCTCCCTGTCCTCAAAATAAATAAACACTACGCAACAATTGTCAAATCATAGCGTGCGATATCAATAATCCTCCTCCATCGGTTTTTATCGAGAAATATTTCCGCGTTTCCTCCGGACTTCTCCCTTCTCGCCAGAATCCAATCCTCGCGATACATAATAAATACCCTGTTCCCTCCTTTCCTTCCTCCTCACCTCCGAATCTGAGAGTTGGCGAGCATCGTTTCCTCATAATCGCGAATGACGGATCGCGATGTAACGAGGGTCAGTCGTATAAATTACAGTCCGACGAGATCTCGCGTGTGTTACGTAGTACGGCGGTCACACAGGTGGGAACGGACCCCCCGTCTCTCTCCCCCCTCGTGCGCATACTTCTGGCGAGAGAGCGAAGGAAAGACAGTATTTGTATATACGCCTTGGTATATCACACAGGCTGGATACATCCGCGTGCTGATTGGCTTTAATTTGAAACGGGCGTCAAAAACCGAGCCGATGATAGTACCACGGACTCGAAATGGATGGTTTTCACGGGGCCCGGCGATCGGTACCATCCAGAAGAGAACGGGCCCCCGGCCGGCCGAGAGCGGACGGCGATGTTATCTGGTCCGGTGGGAGGCATCTGCCGATATGTATACAATGCCATAGGTCCGCTGGGATTATTACAGCCTTGACAAATTGCCGCGGTGAAGGCCGACCCTGGTAATTACGGGGCGCAGAGAGACGCAGATATAAGGACCGAGTGCGCGCGCGTATACATATATATATATATATATATATATATATATATATATATATATATGTGTGTGTGTGTGTGTGTGTATGTGTGTATATATATATATATATACACATACACATACACATATATACATACGTGCATCGCGCTATACATTCGTATGCGCTGCTCGTTTTTCTGTTCGCGATCGGTGCTCTGATTGGCAGATCCGTGATGCCATTATTGGGAAAGATTTTTCGCCTTTCACGACGCATCACGGCGCTCGTTCGGTCTCTCACCGACGGCGGCCTCCGTATTTATTTTACGAGCATTACACCGAAGCAAGAGCGTTAATTAATTTTGCTTTCACTCACGGATGTCATTTTTTTCATACGGAAGAAGCGCGGGAGCCGTGACAATTCGTCGCTGCGAGAAACGGTCTCCATCAGTAAAATATAGATGATCCCGAACATGTGTTACTAAAAAAGAAATCGAAGAGACAAATTAATACAATAGAATTAATGATAATAATACTGCAATTAAAGGATATTATATTTTGCAGATATTATTATTTGCAGATATTTTTCTTTGAAATGACAGTTGGTACGATATTACATAATATTATATGTCTAATTATATTATATTATGCAGAGTGAGTCGTAAGTATGTTTTAAAACTTTGTTCCTGAATAAAAAGTAAGAACGATTGTCCTTACAAAAAATATTTCGTTTTTGAAATAATGAAAAAAAAAAAACAGTTTCAAATATTGGCTTTATGTATTGCATTTTATCATATATTAGATGAAGATCACTCAATTCTTCAAAAGAAATATGAACAATTGTTCTTACTTTTCATCCAAGAATACACTTATAAAATTTTAAAACATACTTACGACTACTCTGTATAATATAAAATTGTGCGTACGATATTATTATAGAAGAACCCAGTTTATGTTTTACTTATTAATATGCCATTGTTCGTCGATTTATTCACCATTAAATTACTATCTTATCAATGCAGTCCGATAAGTCAGACGTAACCTTGACATTGAACGATTTAATATTTGCTCGGCTTCGATTGACACATGATTGGTATTCACTCGTAAATCGCTATAAAAGAATGAAGAATAGCACCATGAGTGATCGACAAAGCGCTTCCAGGCGGCTAAGGCGGGGGTGTTGTTTGGCAGATCAACTCTTGGTACACACGAGGGGGTCCGGGGATGGAGCGGACGGAGAAGCGATACAGAATTATTGCTCACAGTGCCTTCGCAAACCTTTCTTGGCGCTCATCTCGTACTCGAGCGTGTACGTGATCTCGTAGGACGATGGCTACCAGACTTGAATCCCGGTATGGTCGTGATTACGCTGGATATATCACCGCCGATCGCTGCGGGGTTCGCGTTCGATGTTTTATTTCTATCGGACGATGTAAATATGGACGTAAAATATGTGCAAGCATGAAAGAGTCCTGGAAAAAGATTGAAATTAATGCATCGAGGTTAATGAAGGGTCAGGAAAATCATCAGTTATTAATGGAAACAGAACTGTTACGTAGACAAGGAAGCAATGTCCGGAATCTTTAGATCGAATTTTATTTTGGCACTATAATTGGATATAATATTTATCAATTTTATATATGATAGAAAATATATATGTGATAGAGAAAATAAAAATTATATCTACAATTAATGACTCGTAGATTTTTATTTTGGCAGTATAATTGGATATGATATTTATCAATTTTATATATGATAGAAAATATATATGTGATAGAGAAAATAAAAATTATATCTAAAATTAATGACTCGTAGATTTTTATTTTGGCAGTATAATTGGATATGATATTTATCAATTTTATATATGATAGAAAATATATATATGATAGAGAAAATAAAAATTATGTCTAAAATTAATGACTCGTAGATTTTTATTTTGGCAGTATAATTGGATATGATATTTATCAATTTTATATATGATAGAAAATATATATGTGATAGAGAAAATAAAAATTATATCTAAAATTAATGACTCGTAGATAAGATTGAAATTAATATATTTTATAAATTAATTATTTTGAATTAATAATTCCTATTTTATATCGCATTCAGATGAATTTAAATTAAAAATTTCTAGCATAGAAAATTACGGGGAGAAAAGCTACAAATACAGAAAAATTGAAAATTTTAAATCTGATGCACAAATAAAAAAAAATATTAATTTAGCAATATTTTTTCGTTTATCATTTATATAGAAAATATGAACTATCCTTAAATATTTTTTTCTATCTTAGTCCTTTTCACGAAAAGTTAAAAATTTAAAATTAAAATTCAATTCGCCGAAGAAAAAGCTACGGATTACAAGTTTTCCAAAGAGGTTATTGCCGCAAGTCCGCGAGTCTCTCGACGACGATTCAGTTGATGGCAGTGGCTGATTGTGAAAAAGAGAGCACGAAGGAGAGTAATTACGAGTATCCGCCCCGAAAATGCGCGGACGTCCGTAGACCAGCCAGCCAACCAGCCAGTCAGAGCCCGGGGCATTAATATTTTCCCCGGTCTTTTCTCAGACGGTATCTCCAGCGACGACCTCGGCCCATTAGCCCACCTAATTTATGCATCATCAGCGCAACCCTTTCCCCTTCCTGCATCCATCTTTTCGACTGAAAAGTTTCTAAAGATTTTGCTTCTCTCTGCCCGTCTTCTGCTTCTTTTTCTCTCTCTTTCTTGCACTCTCTTCCTTCCTATCCCCCTTCTTGTTCCTCGGCGATGCGGCTCGCGTCTTAATTGCAAGGAAAAAGGGGTTCCATGCCTTTTTAACGCGGAAAACTCCCCTTTACGCCCCCGCCGCCTCTCTTTACAGAATTATAACAAAGAGCCCAATAAACGGTAGATACCTGTCCGTTGGATTACCAGACCACAGGCACAAAGGTCGCTATAAATTCATAAACATATCGTGAAACTCTTACGGATTTTACTTTGAGGATTTCGCGAATTATGACAATAATATAATAAAACAACTGATGTACTGATTTAATTGGTTTCGAACTCTCTTATGTCATGCCTCTTATAAAACAACATGTTTCGATTTCGAAATTTATTTTTACGCTAGGCTTATTTAATATATTCTTCTCGACTAATAAAAGTAGTATCCAAGTTATCTGTAAAAATTTCTAAAAAGTAGAAATCTCTAAAAATTTCGAATTATTAATAATTCATCCCATCAGATTCACGGATAATTTAATCTGACTTTTCCTTAATAATTTTAAATTTAAAGAAAATATTCTTTTAATATTATTTTAATACATATATATGAATAACCTATCAAATTATCTCTGTTTGATATTCATACTAGACATCCTATTAATTTTCTTCTGTAGGAATTATTTAAAATCAGTAATGAGTGGGCGTCACAATCCAGTTTTCCAGGAATAGCGCATAATGGTTTATCTATTCACTCGGATGGCGCATGGAGGTTAAAGGACGTCGCAGATTGGTGGATCCTGGACAGTAGCCAGGTGCGTTCCTTGTTGTCCGTGACGTCATTAATCCACCCATCGTTTTTCAAGGGAGCGCGAGGGCATTGTGTAACGGGCGGGGGATGCTACGCAGCTGCTAACAAGGACGGGTTTGCCAACCTCCGTGCCCCGATACGTACACAGATATATATATGCACGTTTACACGCACACGTATGTATATACAAACATTCTACGAAGGATTCCATGCACGGTAGAGAGAAATGGCGGATCCGGATTCTTGATATTAAAGATTCTGCCTCCGACCATGATTCGTTCTCTCTTCCAACGAAAGCGCTCCGTGATTGTTTCCTTTGGTCGTGTCTGAGTGTTGGTCGTGTACGTGAAAAATGGTCGACATATGTCTCTTTCCGTTCCGAAGACTTCGCCTACGATTCGAAAATGAGATCGTACGATCGTACGGTTGGATAATAACAGGACAGATGCCATGTTCCAAATTAATCAGATTTTAAGGGCGTTTATATACCTGACCCTTTTATTTACAATTATTTACATAATATCGTAAAATATATATAATTGGAGACATATGCCTTGAAAATTATGAGAACAGAGAGAGAGAGTTGAAACATTTTTTATTTCTTTTTTATTTTCTCTATATTACTTGCATCAAAGAAAAATAAATAAAATTTTTAAATTTAAATTTTTAAATTTTTAAATTTTTAAAGTTAATTATGAATTATTCTATAATGCTAAATATTTGTATTTAGAAATCATAGAAAATTCCGAAAAAAACATCAATATTTCTTACACATATATAATTTCATTATATAAATTATTATGTAGTGCAATTATATATGTACAAGAAATATTAATGTTTTTTTTTTCAAAATTCTTAAATTTCTTATAATTTCTAAATATAACATTTAACGTTATAAGATGATTTATAATATAATTAGCTGGTTTTTATGCATTAATTATAATTTTATGTAATATCATATAAATCAGGGAACACCTAATATAATTTATAATACGCAGTGGACGCATCATCCTTTACAAAGCACTCTGCGATAGCTTTCGATCGGGTATACCTGCTATTCGAAAGAAATAACTGGCGTTCATTAGAGTGTTCATTAAAGCTCCAATTAACTGCGAGTAACAGATCGGGGACGTCGCGCTGCTTCAATAAACGTCGTGAAAACAATGATGGCCGTAAACGTCGAGCTGATTTATAATCGATAAATCTGCATCGATTCCTTGCCGTTCTCTCAATGAAACCTGTCCATTTTGGAATCGGGAGCCAGAGGATATTGGATGTAACGCCATCGTGACAGCATCGAGGGACGTTGCGAGAGCAATGACAGGAGGAGGAGGAGGAGGCGAGGAAGAGGGAGGAAAAGGAAGGGGGAAAAGTAGGGTAAATGAGAGAGGAGGGAACGTTGTGGACGAGGGGGTGATTTGGACGGGGTTTAGAGACGGGGCTTGCCCTAATGAAAGAGAGCTGAGCTCCCACTCAACTAGTTCTCTCATCTGTCTGGTTTCCCATGCGAAATAAAATATCGCTAATCACTCGTGCGCGGGGCGGTAAGTACCTTCCGTAGGACGTGCACGCGTGCATCTGTGTACTTAGTGCCCTTCCCAAACTTCCCCCTCCTCCCCCTCTTCTCTATCCCCCGAGTCATCTCCCTCCCTCTGTGGTTGTGCGTTCGTCCCACGATGATGGCGATTTTGGCCATTCTTCTGGCTCAACGATGACTAAAAACGAAGCAGTCCTTTGTTCGGTACCGATGAATCCCGCGCGTTATGAGCAAGATATTAAAACATGCCACAGATTCACGACTGTCCTATCAATGCAGGGATTAGGGAACAGTATTACGTTACCGTTGTTTTCCTTTTTTTTTCCTCAATATGTCGCTTCCTCTTATTATTTCATCATTTTTATCAGTTCATATAATTTTAAAAAATAACAAAAGTCTAATGTAAAATTTATATTAAATATTATATAAGAGAGAAATAAATATGTCGAGAAATAAATTCTTCTATCCGTTTATCGACATGGCGAGGAGAACATGCGCGTTCCAGAAGGAAAAGAATGCGGCTGTACACGCGTTGCGTTTGCAGAAAAAGAGCGAAGGACAGGGAATGTGGCAGCACGTATGATGGCCGCTTTCCTGTCGGTTGAATAAAAAATTCAGTTTTAAAGCGACCGCGCGGCCGGGACAACCCTTTGTCAAGGGGGACAGAAGGGCGCCCCTTCAGACGAGAGGGCACGCACAATGCGTGGGGCGTGTGTCTCTTGGTGTGCCCTATTTACACAGCGACAGCCTCGGAGAGAACTGATGTGTCGCGCTCTCTCTGCCCTTTTTATCCTCACCCTCCGATATTCTCCCTCTCGCTCGTGCATTCCTTGCCTCTTTTTCGCCCTCGTGCGCACCTCGCCCCACGAATATTGGCGTGGACAAGCCCCCGATGTATTGTGAGACCCTTCGAGTGATCCCAGCCAATCGGGGCACCGCATGACGATTTTATTATGAAAAAGCGAAACGTTAGGGTGGATCGAACCCCTTTGCAATCCGCGAGGGGTGAGGCGAAGGCGACGGGACAGGTCGGGCGTTCGCTTGCGTGTCCCGAATGTTTACCATCTTGCTGACGAAAAAAATGGAAAGGAAAGAACAAAGATGTCGAGGAAAGAGCGAAAGAGCGAAAGGGTGATCCTGCCGCCAACGTCGACGTCGTGTCGACCGTAGAACGAAACTTGAGGGATCCGCTTTAGTCGAGAGATCATTCCTCGTACTCGCGAAACGAGGGTTGGACAGTCGCCCTTGTCGAGTGAGGATGAACTTCTCGTTTTTCCCGACGTGACGGTCTCGAGAGCCCTTAATTTCCCTGTTTTCGCGTGCGACACGAGCGTTAAGCCGACTGGAAATGAAAAGCGCGACGCGGCTCGAGTCGGATCTGTGCTACGGCAACGTGACAGACAGCTAGTCTCGGCAATACTTTCGTGAATTATTCAAGGATTCGTCAGCGGGAAACATTGTACGAGATGTCGTGTCACGAATAAAAATTGCACCGGAACTTTACCGATGTATTAAATAAAATAATCGAAATTTGGTATCGTGAAACTCGCGTGATTTTTTTAAATGACTCTTGTCATAAAGATTCGTGAAAATTCAGTAGAAAGATAATTTCGAAAATTTGAAATCTAAATATTATTACCGTACTCGGTATTTCAATGTTTGAAATTCAAAGGAAAAATAAAGTTTTATTTTAAAAATATTATTTTAAAATATACACACGAAAATATTCTTTGGTCTTTCGATTTAATTGCAATTTTAGCGAAATAATTCAAATTTAACATGTACCATGCTCGTATTTTTTCCACAATTTTTTTTAACAAACTTTTCATATTCTATTAAACAATAGTAACGCAAGTGAGACACATAACTGTGTGTGTGTGTGCATTGCACAATCAATCTTTAAACGGAAGCTATCGCAGAAGCAATTATTTCCTCGTCTCGGTGTAAAAGAAGAGTTTGAAAATCTAATAGTAGTGTTATGGAATTGCCGTCGCGACGAAGAACAAGATCTTGAGGCTTCTATCTACGAGCACCTGTCAGATAGACCTGTCCGATGATAGATAACGCTTCTTACTCTCGCTCGCCGCGCTTCCGTGCCAGTCTGTCCCCGGGACCGGAAGCAATACATAGTAATAAAAGTAACGACCGAGTCGTGGCCACGTGTCATCTTTCCGGGGACGAGCAGTTTGGAGACCATTGCGCGCCGACGCGATGCGACGCAAGCCGGCTTGCACTTACAACCGGAAGCTAGCCCACGGGCTTCACGGGTGTATTAATAGGGTGGCGCGCACACCAGGAAGAACCGAATGATTATCGGTAAATGACAGAAACCGCAGATCGCCTGTCGTCGACTGCGTAACGTCAGTCGTGCGCAGGCCGCAGCGCGCCCAAGAGCCGCCATATGTCGGCTTCGTCCGAATTAAAGTTGGCGACCCGGATGAGCCATCGCTCGGGGTTCCGGCACTTTCGACAACTTTGAACTTCGTTTCACCGATTGTCATCGTCACGTCACCCGCTTCTCCTTCGATCGAGAGTCAGAGGGGAGGAAAACGAGGCTTTATCATTTCGAGGTACTTGAGATTATCTTCATTTCGAAAAATTGAAGATGATCTGAAAAAACTTTGAAAAATTACTATGATGGAGATGTACTATATGTGTGACTATTTACGTATGAATATCATGTGAAAATATTACATGTTATATTTTTTTCGTTCTAACGCACGATTAATAGAAACAGTAATGGATCCTGATTGAAATAAATGTAACAGTTACAGCGAGGCTGATTGGACAAATTTTTATCAAACGCATGATTTAATTTTCGTGTTCGATGTGCGAAGGGTAAAATAATCAGTCACTTTTTTTTCATTCGTTTAATACAACATCCTCTTGTTTGTTCCGATTAAACATTGAACGTTGCAGCGAATCGCAATCAGCTGCGGAGAGGGGACGGGGAAAGGGGCAAGGAGAATATTACGGTTATCGTCAATATTAGTAGCTGCTAAAATGCTAAAATTCGAGTAAAGTGATTTTTAAACGGGATAATGAGATTTACATACCCCGTAAAACGCATACTGCAGATACACCGAATTATGTTAATGTAGTGCGCCTCTAGAGTGAGAGTCACTATAATTTTTTTCTTCTTTTTTAATTATGCCATTATCTTTAGAGACGCGAGCGTGTATGTAAAATATAGACATTTATGGGTCGCGCGACATCTGCCTGGCTTCCGACTGGCGCGAGATCGAGAACTTCGTAGCAACCTGTCCGCTTTTTATGGAGCAAGTGGGAAAAGGACGGGGGAGAGAGAGGCAGATAATTAGGTTTGTCCGAATAATTGGTCTTAGGAGAGCCACCGGACCTATAACCCGGGTGCTCTTTTTCTTTCTCTCTCCTCGCTGCGCAACGGCTCGCCGGTAATTTGTCCGAAATGCCTTCCTCGCCTTCCTGGATCTTCCTCCTTTTTTCTGACCTCCGTCACGATACCATAATGAAAACGGCGAAGTGTGGAATTGGCGGGCAATTTTCTGGAGTGTTCCGTCCGATCTATAATTTTCAAAAACTGTCCACCTGTTCCGTGACGTTACGAAACACGGGGACACGCTTCGCGGAATAGCACACGCCTGGCCGCGTAGATCATCCATAATTTGTTAAAACATTTCCGATTTATACTAATTCCGGGTCGTTGCGTGCCGAGCGGCGTCGTTTCCGCGAAAATGGAATTTTTACAATGTCGAAAAAATATCAACATATTTTCGTAATAGACAGGAATCAATATCGTAATATTACAAATTATAAAACATTCCGTCATATTTCTGTGACAGCTCACGTTCCTTGAAAATATCTTTAATATTCTATTTTCCATCGTCGATCTTAAACAACATTAATTGATATATTTTACTAAAAAAAAAAAAAAATTCCCTCCCATAAATTCTCTCCCAAAAGATACGGAATGAAATGAGGTTATTTACAATAATATCCTCACCTGTTTACTACGCGTAGCTATCGCCACGATGCATCTTTGCCGCATAATGCGAGCGAATTCGGAGGGAGGGGAGCAATTTCAGCAAACATCGTTAATCGACATTAGACCATCGGTGACTGTCGGTAATAGCCGGTTAGGCCGATATCAATTTACGACGCGCATACAGACCGCATCATGCCGCGGGTTTAACGACCGTGGCCCGATCCGAAGACGGTTTCCGCCCACGGCGCGACGGCATAAACCGATCGCCGGGGAACCTGTCGCTTCCTAGGCGGTTAATTGTACGCGGAATTGCATTCCGCCAGCCAGGGGGACGATGCACCGATGCCATCGCGATGCGCGCGAGCTAGGGCCACGACACATCGTTAATTCGTTTACAACTTCCACCGCATACGTGCGAGCCTCGCCAACATATATCGGAACAAACGGACAGACGCTTAATGAGTTTTGTTGCGCGGGGAAGGAGGGACGCGCGTTATAAGGGGGCGAGAGGAGGGAAGGAGAGGTGGAATAGGGCCCCGGATACGCGTACGTACATATATACGTGCATAGCCGGGTTATATTCGTGATCGCTAATAGGAAACGTATCGCGGGTGAACGGAATTAACGGAAGTCTCCGCGCGCGTCGCCTCCCGGAAGACGCCGTCGACGCCGGTCACGATACAATTCGCCCGCCTCCCCCCGCCCCTCTTCGATCGATCGATTCCCGTCTCGTTTATTCTCGCGGATAAAGACGCGTACCAACAAGCGCGGTCCGAGCGCTCGGCTCGTTGGCACATATCACGCGTCAACTTGTCACCCGTTATATTCGTCGACTTTCGCGCTGAGAACGATCAACGTTCGTTATCTCGATTCGGGCGTTGAATCCAAGCAACTCTGACTGGCACGCAAATTGCCATTTTTAGATTTACGTGCACGCGCCCTCTTTTTAAATCTAAGCCTGTACTGGTGATCGGGGAAAGGATCGTGAACTTTGAAAAATTTCGTTATACCCTGGCTTCGTTTAAACGAACTTTTCCATGTCGTCTCGAGCGAAATCTCCATTAATTCGGCAGGAGTTACTAAATTTATCCACGAATGATTGTACTTGTCAAATTTTTACATTTCCAGACACGTGGCTGCTCTACAAGTTTCTATAGCTTTACGTTTTTGCGATCTCTTATACATATAATAATTCTCTTTCAGAGAAATATAAATGCAATTAATTTTATAACACTCTATAAAGAGTTCAAGTTCAATTTAATTATTTCCCTGTTTCTTTGTCTTTTAGTCTCCGTTATTCAAAAAAATGTTGAAATGGACAAGATTATATAGGATTATATATAACACAATCCACTATCCCGATCGTTTGTACGAGGGGTTCCTCGGCTTTCCTGAAAGCCGCGATGAAATGCGAGCGGGCAGACAGAAACGGGACCGAGACGAGATAATAAAATTCGCCGTGCGTCGTTCGCGATCACGGTGGTCGGCTATTCGACGTGTCACCTGCCGCTCGTGAGAGAAGCAACTTGGTCCTCCTCTGGATAAAATACCGGGAAGCAAGAGTGCGTCTTGTTCTCGCGAGGACGCCGCCCATGCGCTCCCTCAGGTGTGTCATCTCCTTCTCTTTGAACTTTCCTCTCTCTTTCTCTCTCTCTCTTTACCTGAATGAAGAAAAGTCACAACTCTAACCAGATTTTGGATTTAAGAGTTAGACGCGACCTTTGAAGTCGAATCCTATCGTGGCACAAAGGGTCATAACGATCTACCCGTGAGTCGCGTTGCGATTCTAAATTTTGGATATAGAGTAATCTGTATTATATACGATAGATTTGAGTGTGTATATATAATTTGATATGTAATCTTAAAGTTGATAGATGTCTTCTCCTTGGAAAATTTGCAACAATTTTATTATATATGATCGTTAAAAAAGACAGAGGAAAAATCGTAATTTTAATATATATATATATAATTAATTATATATAAAATTTATATATATATATATATATATATATATATATATATATACTTATAATATAATTATAAATATATTTTATATATACATATATAAATATATTTTATATATACATATATATATATATATATATTTTTTATATATATATTTATATATATATAAAATATATATATATTTTATATATATATTTTATAATAATTTCATATATTTTCATATAATTTCATATATTTTATAATTTCATATATATTATAATAATTTCATATATTCATGGATTAAGGATGTTTTGTATGTACAATCCCAGCAAAAAGTAGCGAAAAATCAATAGTGATGAATATTCACTTTTGATGTATTTTGAGTATATGAGAAATTGTACGAAATATTACAATTTGATCTTAGCTACAGCGCAGAGATGTATTTTTTAATATTTATTGCGTTTAATATTTATTGCGTTTTTACTGAAATATTCCGAATTTTGTTAATCGAAATGATTAACTTTTGGCAGAGAATTTCGCCTTGTGACAGATACATGGCCAAATTCATTGAATTATATTTAATATTTTTAATCAGTTAGTACTTGTATAATATTATTTGATCAAATATTTCCTCTGTATCTAAACTTTTGCAAATTTTAAACAAATTCTGAATATTATTTCCATGTGTTTTTGTCATTTGAATCGACGTGGTTATACGTTTCCCATAAAAATACATGTTAATTCGGTACAAATTAAAATCCTTATAACTTGTGAGAATCGATTTAAAAATTGTACTGAAGATTCTAAACATATGTAAGAACATTCTGTACAATTTTCGTTAAATTCTCAATATTTTGAAAATAGATACAAAACATCCTTAAATTTCTATCCCTTTTAATTGGACGAATTTTGCACCGTATGCTCGCATTCCACCAGGTACGACGTTCCGAAGACGCACATACGCGCACATACGCGCTCGACTATCCGCGGAGCACGTAATGTTAAACAGATGCCGAGGAATGCCTGCGGGACGGATAATAATGGTGAGAAGGAATTTAATATGCGCGCGGACGCGCGGAGTCGAGCATCAATCAGGAGATGCCACGAGGTCGTACGACGACGTGCGCGCATATCATTGTCATCGCCGGCGTTTCCCGTGGAATAAATCTACGGTGAGACGCCCATTGTCAACTCTCGCGTGCACCGCCACGGCTGCTGCGACGACGGTTCACGGATGCTGCACGGACGGTCTGTCGTTGCCAGTCTCCTCGATACCTAACATAAATCTTGCGCGCGTTCTACGTTTGTTGCGCATCTCGCTACCGTATCTCTCTGACTCGGTTCGAATATCGGCTCGAATTGAAGGGAGGTGTTACTGTTTTAATTTCCAGGTGATGCGAGTTTATAAAATGATCGAGGTAAATGTATAAAAAATATATTATTTTTACACTTATTAAGAACAGATTATTTAAAAAAGAGAATTAAAAGTTTTATAAATAATAAATTTAAATTTTAAAAAATATAGCACTTTTTAAATGTTTTGCATAAAATTACATTTAATAAGTATTAATATAAGTATCGGTTCGAATTGAAGGAAGGTGTTATTGTTTTAATTTCCAGGTGATACGAGTTTATAAAATGATCGAGGTAAATGAGAGACAGAGAGATTATCGCGCGATGACTTTAATTACGGATTCCGCATGCATTTAGATGTAACAGAAATGATCGATACCGATGTTAGGAAAGATTAAACGTGACATGCGTGAATAGCGAACATTTAATAGATCGGAATTAATGAGAAACGCTCGCAAAAACAAAGTCCCCGCCGAGAAAGGTAACGCGTGCAGCGCGGATCGATGCTCCGCGGTTTCTCGTTCACCGCGACGCACGCAAGTACGCAGGACGCACGCACGCATGTATGCACGCACGCACGCCCGCACGCACGTAGCTTCGCGAATATTGCGAAAAACCGAGCGTGGCGCGTGTGAAACCACGAGCGCGACTCGACGCGCGTATGGAAATGGCGCGCAGTTGCCATTGTATGGAAATGGATACGAGTCCGTTCATCGCGGCAGAAGCAACCACTGTGACCAGCTGGCTCTCCTCCTGCCTACCTACCGACTCGGTAATGTCGCTGTCAGGAAAGCGGCAAGCCTCGTTCCGTACATTGCAAAAGCGAACGCGTACAAGACGCGCTCGTTCTTCAAGAGACATCTGACAAATATTAATTTTAATTAATGATCGCTAAATTATAAATGATTAGTATTATTTAAAACTTAGATATGTTATTTGTTATTATTAATAGAATTATGTATTAATCGTCGTTAAAAATAGTTATATAAATGCACCTCCTTAATTATTAATTTTTAGTAATCTTTTTTTATTTTTTTTATCTTTAAAATTTTAATATATTTTAATATATTTAATATTATTTAATATATTTAATATTATTTTAATATATTTAATATATTTCATTATCATTAAATATTATATATATATAATTAATAAATATATATATGATTAATAAATTAATAATTTTATATATATTTAATAATCACTGAATAAATAATTTTTTAATATAAATATTAAAATTCATCGATATTTTATTTATATTATACTTATATTAATACTTATTAAATGTAATTTTATGCAAAATACGCGGATTGTAGTCCAAATTAGGACGATGTGTGTCGATTGAATATTTCCTTTCTTAAGATGTGACTCACAACAAATGCGAAAACCCCATAAAACTTAGATACGCGTGAGAATGCGTATCGCGCGCACTTATGACTGCGCGATCTTCAGTCGCGGCGTTTATACTTGATTTTTTCGCAGGAAGGTATACGCTTGTATTGTTCGCGGAGATTAACGAGCAATTAGCCCTGCGTTCTTTCGAAGTGCGCGGTAAACCGAATTTCGCGATACCGCGCGTGGTACATCGACAGATTATCGCGGAGATTAATTGCTTTGGCCGTGTGTTTTAGACACGCGCAGCGAGGCGTGTCGGCGTCAAATCCCGGTAGGGATTTATCAAAGTTAAGCCTCACAGGCCACAGATAATGTCCTTGTCAAGGAAACGGCGAGCCTTGAAACAAAAATGCGCTCGAGGACGATATTTAATGCTCACGGATATTTAATGCAAATATGTAAATCATAACGTATTGGTTCTCACTAACGTTGTAAACCGTCATTTTTATGAAATAACGTTACAATATGTTAGTTTTATTATATTATATCAACAAGAGTGCCTGCTCAAATCTAATAAAAAAATTCTCTGATCTTCCTGGTATCATTGTTCAAAATTTCAATTTTTTCATTAAAGAAAATAAAGATTTTTTGGCAAAACTCTCTCTGAAAATATATTTTTTTATTGTATGCGTTTTTTAATGTTTCTCACACAAAGGAAAAATAAAGTCACACAAATTTCAAATGCATGTGTAAAATGCAAATGTAAAAATTTTTATAGCTTTCATAAGATAAACACTTGCATAACATTTTCATTGTTTATTACTAAAACAATAAAGAATATACATATTACTGCATAACATTTTGTCAAAATATTGAATGTATAAATAGAAAAAAAGCATAGATGTATATTTATAATATATTTTAAACACATACAGAATTCATTTGAATTATCGAGTATTTACATTATAAGAGGAAATTTATCAAAGAGAATGTTTTTTACAATAACATCATCAAAATTACTGTATTTTAAATATAAATATATAAAACGGAAACAGCAGGTTTAAGTTGGAGAATCAGAATACTATATGAGACAAAAATTAAAGTAAATTTGACAGAAAAAATTTAAAATAAGAATAAAATATACGAATCTTTTACATTCGTACGCACATTATTATGTGTGTAATTCCCTATTTTCTAATACATATCTCAAATGTCTATAAAATAAAGAGCATAACACATCTGTAAAAAATCACTTCGCTTCCGTATGTAAACAAAAGAGTACAGAAAATGTAAATTCTATCAGGGTCTTCAACCGACAAATTATAATCAGTCGGACAACACTACATGTTACACCGGAATAGTCTGCCGCCATATCTCGCCTTCATTCCGCATAATAACTTGTGCGCGCCTCTCTTTCTCTCTCTCTCTCTTTCTTAGCGCAATCTTCTAGTGCGTCGCGCGAGATCATTTCCTCCTCGTCCGCGATTAACTGCATACGCAGTCGTCGTCGTCATCCTCAAGAAAGACGTATCAGCAGCAACCGCGGCAGTATCGCGCCTCGAACATCTGTCTTCGCTCGTCAACGCGCGAATGCTAATCTGCACCCGCTCATTATATCTAGCTAGAGACGCTCGGCCATTTTCACGGCGGCGACACTTCTCTCGTAATTTATAATCCCGAGATGCCGCGAGAGAAAGAGAGAACGAGAGGGAGGGGGAGAAAGAGAGAGAAACACGAGAGCACATCGAATAAAATTTACATTCCGAGCTGGTGCGGACCGGTGTCAGGCGAAATCGAACGAGACACCTCGTTGCGCCGAGAGGTCGGCTCTTCTCGCCGGACCTCCTGCGGACACCGGGTCCAGGATAAGCGCTCGTCGTAAAAGTCACTTTACAGGCTCGCGCGAGGGACAGGTGACCCGCGTCGTGTACCCGGTGCCAGTCGGCCGCGTCGAGAGACAGAGAAAGAGGGAGACGAAAATAAAAGGTCGTGCGCGCGTATATAACACGGGGTCCCGGGGGCGAGACGCGCCGATGTCGTCGAGGCGAACGGACGTCGACGCGGCCTCGACAGGCCTCGGCGGAGCCCGGGCCCTTTCCCTTTTCTCTCGCGGCGGCTGGCCTCTCAGATTCTCCCAGCGATTCTCGTCGGTAAATATACCATGGCGACACCGAGGCCTAAAACCGAAGCTCGCTAGTATACGATACTTTATGGCACCTACGTTTCCGATCACAAGCTTTATATCCCGTATAAAATACATGAATGGTGATCTCTCTTTCTCTCTTTTTTTTTCTTTTCAAGCATGGCTATAATCCTCACGGCAAAGTACATAAATAAAAAGGATATACGGAAGTGTTAAAGAGGACCTATAATAGTAATATAAAACTTTAAAAATGTCGAAAATTATCGAGCGCTATCAGTACTTCATTAAAAGGATCATAATCGTTATTTTGAAAACAGCACCTTATCTCGTCTAGAATCTTTCTATCTTGAAATATTATCTATGCGACTTGTTAAATTATAATTAGCGAGATGACTGAATAATAATTTAAAATTATATCGTTTCTTGATATCAGGTCGGCACGAGTTTTCTTTATTTATTATTAGCTCTTGAAAAGCCTGAGGCAAAATTTAAAGACGAAGCACAGCCAGGAATATGGTAGCGCCATTCATCGACATTCGGCGAACGCATTGTTTTTAAACCCTCAATTTCGCCTCTCTCATTTGCTATTTTTCTTTTTCCGTCGCGGAAACGAACACGGCACCGAAGCAGGTGCATGACTAGTCTAGACCCTGCTGCGGCCTTTCAGGGACAACTCCGGCGCGGAACTTCCCGCTTAGCCCTCTGGCCATCCCTTAAATGTCTCGCTCTCCATCTCCGTTCCCTCAAGCTGGCCACGGGACAGTTCCCTCGAATCTGGAATATCATAGAAGAAGAATCTGCTATATAACATCATTTCCTAAGCCGTCAGTGGAGGCCAGCGGGAGGACGGGGGAGGGAGATGAAGGGGGAGAAAGGCAGAACGAGCCACGGGCAATAATCTCGATGGCTCGCCAATTACGTTCGTCTCGTGGCCATCTGCTCCTCCGGGCCAGGAGACCCGATGACCGCTCATCCTTCAACAATCTTCCTCCTGTTCCGTCCCACCGGGCCACCTTCTCCCTCCCTCACACTCCGACTCCGAGCTCTCCTCCGCCTCCGCGTCTCGCTTGGGCCTCGAGAGTTTCGGGGCTCAAAGGCAGCGATGTAAATTGCGAAATCGATAATGCGGAACCGCGGTTTGTCGCGCGATAATCATACGACGTGCGCCCAAACTCCACGGACTGCGCGAGCGGATCCCAAATGTACGTATGCGTGTGTGTATGTGCGTGATTGGGAAGGCCAGGGATACTGTGACCGCGTCCCGAGATGCCGCCGCTCGGACAGAGAGCGTATATAATTACGCCGAAATCGTAGTTAGGCGCGCACCTATAGCACACCGCGTCGGGGCTTCGAAAATTGATCACGTACCGCGTCGGGGTCCTGGTCCTCCATCCCTTGCTCTCTCCGCCCCTCTCCCCCTTTCACCCTTCCTTTCTCTCTCTTTTTCTTCGCTACTGCCCGCTCTTCTCTGTCATTATCGGGAATAAAAGTCACCGCTACTCCATCGGCGCGCTGGAGGAATTCACTGCGGGGACAATCTCGTGTTGAAAAATTATGGCGGTTGTGTGGGTCCTCCGATGCACGGGTTTCGCGTTTATTGAGGCCCGAGAATGATGAAAGATCATCCTTTGGGGATCTTGAAGCGGCAGAATTGCCGATCGAATTGCAATTGACGTTATATTTTGTCGCAATCGAGGGAAGAGGACCCGTGTTTCCGCGGAATAGTGAGTCGGGTCGATTCTCACGTCTTGGAGGCTTCCACAGATCACAACGGTACCTTCCATGGGACACATCTTCCACGTTTAAATCAAGACTAAAAGAAATTACGAGCTGGAATTAATAACGGTAGATGAGAAGGATATGATCCGGCGCCCGGACTCATTTAAGAAATGGGAAACCTATTAGCATAGAAGGACGACGTCGAAAGAGGCGGAGGGAGACAGCGGGAGACCGTGGCGTCCATTGTGTGCCGGCGGGACGAGGGGACCCCCCTCGCTTTCGGCCGGCCGTGTCCGCCGGAATTCGTCGAGCGTATCCGTGCGATGCGGTGTGTCTCAACGAGAGAGTCGGACGCGCGCCGTGAAAGCGAGTAGAGAGGTCCCGCGCCCGTCCGATTCCTCGGCGCGGGCACGTCGTCATCCTCACCTCACCTCACCTCACCGGCGCGGCGTCATTTTCACACGCCGCCGCGCCAGGATCGGCGCCGCTCCACTGCGACTCGCTTGCGCAACGCTCGCCGAGCGTACGCGGTCACCCGCGAAGCGACCGACTCTTTCCCCGTGTTATTACGAGTATTATCGCTATCCCTATTGGACGAAATTATTCTTCGAGAATAGGGTTGCACGAGGCGTAATCTACGGTTGCAAGATGATACTCATTGGAATATCGGTATCGAAAGTTTTCGAAATTCGAGTCT